GACTGAATCAACCACTTCTGGATGTGTATTCAGCACTTATAATTAATGACAAATATGTTCTCATGGATATGTTCTCAGCTTTAATAAATATATGACCAATCCCATTATTATTAGATCAAGAAATAAAGAATTTATAGTCTAAAGAATGTAGCTACACTTGGTTTAGAAAAAATAGAAGTCAAATTTCTTCAAGCACAGTAGAACCAGAAGAGGTCAGAAAAGAGTAGGATCTTTTTTTTTTTTTTTTTTTTTTTAAGTTGTTCCCTCAATTTCCAAGATCAAATAGATCAACAGGAAGCTGGTGGTGCCAGTAAGTCATCCTAAATTCAGAGAAGCAGATAAAAATATATTATATTCTGAACAATTTTTTATTGTTAAAGCTACTCTGTGAAAAATAGTTCTTTTATTCTTCAAGTAATTTATCTCAGAATATTAATTTGAACACTGTAAAAAGTGTTATCATGCTGAGGATTTTGATTGTTATTTTGATTTGAATTATAATAATTTAAGAATATCTACTGAAGCAGTAGGAAAAATATTTTTAGGCATGTTAAATCTGAAAAACAATGTTTTTCTGAACATATATTCAAATTAGGTAGATAAAGAATAATTGAAAACAACCATGTGTACATGTATATATATATGTATATATGCAGCTAGATGCAGCCCCATTCACTACTACTCTTTGAGTTCTGCTGTTCAGCCAGTTCATGACCCACCTTAGCATGAACATGTTTATCTCACAGTTAGACAGTTCATCCAGAAAGATGCCATGAGGGACAGTATGAAAGACCTTACTAAAATACAGAAAGATTATGTCCCTCCATCCATGCAAGTGGATGACCTTATCATAGGAGATCAGATTGCTAAGGCAGGACTTTGCCTTTGTGAACCCATGTTGATTATGCCTGATTATAGTGTTGTTCTTTAAATGCCTTTCAGCTGCACCCAGGATAATCTTCTCCACAACTTTTCCAAGCTACGAGGTTAAAATGTGAGGTCTGTAGTATCCTGGGTCTTCTCTCATGTCTGTTTTGTAGAGTAAGATAATGTTGGCTAGCTTCCTGTCAGCAGGGTCCTGGCCATACTCCCACAACCTTTGGTAAATTGTTGAGAGGGGTCCAGATATAACTTCTGTTTACTCCTTCAGTACCCTGTGTCAGGACCCATGGACATATGAATGTTGAGCTGATACAACTATTTCTGTACAATTTTGGTGACCACATATGGAAGAAAGTCACTGCTCATCCAGTCACGGTCCTCAGGCTCAGAGATCTAGTCATTACTATTAAATACTGAGTATTTATGAATTTTTTTCATCAGTCTTCCCAATGTCTACACTTCAAAATTTGTTAGTTTGACATACATATCTTTTTATTCTCTTCCACAGATTTTTTTTTTTTTTTTTTTTTTTTTTTTAAACTTAGCCTATCTTTTCTCTGATTATTCAATAGAGCAGAAACTGAATTCCTGTAATGAAACCTGAAATCATGAATATGAGGCAGGAAATCAAACTTGACATCATTATATAAGGTACATAAGAACTGAAAGCAAATTTTATACAGAGGGACAATTCCAGAACAGCAAACTTAAATCAGCATTTTAATACTGTAGATAAGTGTTATTCAGTGCAATACAGTCTTACATGGGATTATTCTTATCCACCCAGAGGTCATCTGTCTTGTTTTTGTAAGTGCTCTGTGCCTTCACCACATAGCAGTGAATGCCTTATGGCAAGGAAAGCTTAAATAAGAATCCCTGGAACCTGTGCGCTTTTAACTTATCTGCTCTCAGAAGGTGTTTTTCAAGGCATATGCCTTAACTGCTTATTTCTCTGAGGCTATACGGAACTTCTGACATTTTTCCTTTCTGAGAAATACCGAGGAGGATGATCATTAATAATTAATGTCACTGTATATACTTTAGGAACTGTATCTTTAGCCATATATTTTTAGACAAACTATTAAATAATGTTATTGGACAAACCCTGCACCACATCAGTATCAACATCTGAATAGACAGAATGGACTCATTATTTCCATTTTTACAGAACTACAGAGCAGTGAAAGAAATACTGTAAGGTTACATGGCTCACCAGTCACAAAGCAATCTAACACAAGAAGGACTCTCCGGAGGTTAAGTCAGTAGTTTCATAAGTTTCTCATTTCTTAGTCTACTACATTTGCTGAAATATTGTTCTGTCTTTCTAAATATTCCTTACTTTCATTTTGTTTCTTTTTTATTTCTTTTGTTATTTTTTTTTCTCATTTATTTACATTTTGTTACTTATATGGTATCCAGTCTCATAATAATAATCATTCATTTAACAACCTTGATCAATTAACTGCACCGTGTGGAGGAAACACTACCACACTTTTTATTTGAAAATGTAAGCTGTAGACTGCTGTGAGTAGTTTCTGTCTAACTAAGGAATTTGTGAAAGATCCTGGAGGTAGAACACTGACTGGGTCACAATAAGTAACTTTCATCTTCTTCAGTCTGTTTGCATCTGTGCAGGGAGTATATCTGTAAGTATATGTGCAAGAAGAAATTAAGCTTCTTTTGTCAACAATAGGAATTCAACTCACCTATATCTACCTCAATATTCTGTAACAATTTAAAAGTGATTTCAGATATACCAAGCTGTCTTTGTACAATAAGTAAGGATAATTTCCCTAGGGTCATCTAAAGTTTTCCTGACCATTCGGATGCTCTCAAGAATTGCTGGATACTTGTCCACTTTTTTTTTTTTTTTATTATTATTTATTTATTTATCTATTTATTTATTTTTTACTGTAATGCCATGATACCATGTCACTGACTACACCATAGAATCAAAATACTGAGATCAGTAAAATTTACTGAAGTCTAACCTGGTTTTCCCCAGTACAAGAAAGACGTGGACCTGTTACAGTGGGTCCAGAGGAAGCCCATGAAAATGATTAGAGAACTGGAATATGTCTCCTGTGCAGAAAGTTATGAGAGTTGTAGTTGTTTAGCCTGGAGAAGAGTTGGCTCTGGGGATATCTTATTGCAGTTTTTCAGTATATAAAGGGGGCATATAAGAAAGCTGGAGAAAGGCTTTTTACTAGTGCCTGTAATGACAGAACGGGGGGCAATGGTTTTAATCTGAGAAAGGAGACTGAGATTGGATAAAAGAAGAAATTTTTCATGATGTGAGTAGGGAAGCTCTGGAACAGGTTGCTCAGAAATGAGCAACCCCATCCCTGGAGGTGTTCAACGCCAGGTTGGATGAGGCTTTGAGCAACCTTGTCTAGTGGAAGGTGTCTCTGGCCAAGGCAGAGAAATTGGACTAGATGGTCTGTAAAGATCTCTTCCAACCCAAACCAACATATGATTCTATGATTCCAGATAAACTCATAATACTTTACACAAGAAAAAACGTATGCTTACTTAGAAGAATGTTTTACATTAATGAAGGGGTGAGAGAGAGAGGGGGTGGAAGACTATAATATATTGTGCATTTAGAGGAAAATAGCCTTGTTATTATGCATGCAGAAAGCTGGTAAAATGCACTGTATGTTAAATATTAAAAAGTAAGTAGAATCCATAGCCATATATTCCATTCTTCAGCACTTCCCGCATTATTTGACAGTGCAAAATCAATTTAAATTCTCAAGATTAAGAATACTGTTAATATTTCTTTAAAGTACATTTTTTTTCAGTGCCTGGGGAACATAAGATTGATTTTCTGTTATCATATTGCCAATTATGTCCTTTAAAACTTTGTTCTCAGACAGACAAAAATTAAACAACATAAATACATAAATTTAGCATGAGTATTTAGCATAGGCTAAATAGTGTCTCAAGATATAAAAAGCATTCCTGTCAGTGGACAAAATTTTTCCAGTTTGGAGATCAGCCACATGGAGAAGTATATATTCAAAACAGAACAAATGATATTTTGTATCATCCAGATCAAAGAATCAAGATGTGATTTATTTTTTGTCTTTCTTCTGATAGTTTAGATGAACTAAACAGAATTCCACATAAACTATTTGGACTTTGAGAAACTACATGAATTGAGGCATGGATCCCTTCCAAATAATTATGTACAAAAACATACAATCAATTAAATGGTGGTTGCCATGTCCATTTTTTTTTTTTTAATCCCAAGTTAAGCCTACTGTTTTCACAGCATTCAAAAAAGTGGAAGCTTGAACTTTCAATTGCATAATATTACTGCAAACATTTTCTTTTTATTCTCCCAGCAGAATGCTATAAATACTCTAAATGAGGTCTAAACCCCTAGAAAAGTAATTCCATCATGAACTAATCAGACCTTTTCACCATCCTTGTTTCATTTGGGTCACTATGCAGATAAGACTGTAAGACTAAGAGAGACAGAAAATAAGATAGAATGTGTCTCTGAGCATTAAAGAGAGGTTTTTATTTTGTGTTAAAATGCTATCTGATAAAATACATCTACTCACAGTCTTGCACACATATCTGGACACTGCCTTTTTTCCCCTCTCCTTCATTCTTTATTATTGCTGGAAAATGTATACCTAATGTGTACACATCGTATGGAGAATTCAGAACACATACTTTCTTTCATACCTGTAGATTTACAAACCCATTTCTGAAGTCAGTGTGATTCCAGGCTGAGTGCTACTGTGAGCACATCACTTGGGACTGAGGATTTCACTGTTATGACCAGGATCAGATACCCTTCTGGGATTCTTGGCTTCATTTTTGATCAGATTCTGCAATCTGTTCTCATCTGAAAAGTGTTTGTGCTCAGTCAATGTATGAACACTGCAAGTGCACTGTCACATATCTGTCTACTGTTGATGCTTTCTGATTCAAAGGACTTTCCAGACTGGAACAGTCAGCAGTACCTTAAGAAGTAAGCAGTAGTCTAAGAAGTATAAATATAACATGAAGTCTTGCTCCCCTCCTCCCCAGTAAATAAATAAATAAAAAAATCAAGCAATCTAGCTTTTTAGGTTTCACTGGTAAAGGCTTACCACATAAGATTGATGTATTTCTAAGATTTATTAATTTAACTTAATAAGTTCATAAACAATATAGCTAGATAAAATTTAGTGATTATATTTAGAGATTAGACATGGATCTATATGTGGGTAATATATTTACAGTATATAATTACACATTAAACATAAATACGCATGTGTGCTCTATACACCTGCAAACACAAATATTTATGGTTCAAGATATTGTAAAACTGCATACAAGATTACTGCATTTTTGTAAATGTTATACTAGAAGAGATAGCGTAGCTAAGGACAGTAGAACAATTAAAGAATAGTTGTATTATAGAGGATTTTAAATTAAGGCTTTTAAGAATTAAATTAAGGATTTTAAATTAGGTAGAGAAAAGAATATCAAGCATGCCAGTAACCCTTAGTTTGTTGATTGATGCAATATGGTAAATGCTGAAATTAATATGTATATCTTCTCTCTCATCCTAAAAAAAAAAAGCAACTGTTTGTAATAACTCTCAGTCAGATAAAGATACTTAATTGTCCCAGTTAAATAACACACTGTCCTCTTCATAAAATACTAGATAAACAAGACAGGCCTGTTCTTAAACATACCTGTTTGCTTGTTACCTCCAGGTGATTCAATGCTGTTCTCACTATCTGAATATTGAGTAGGACAAGCCTCTATTTCTACAAAAGTAATTCCATCATGAACTAATCAGGCCTCCAATAAGCTTCTCCAATTTTATTAGTTAATACATGTTTAGAATCAGTGGTTATGATAGGTTCGGTGCAAATAGTTAGGTACTCTTATCACATCACATTTGCTTTGTAATTTATGTCCATGTTGTGTAATGAAAAGCAAAGAAATTAGCATGGAAGAGGAATTATAACTTCTGTTCTCTAAGAGCAGTCAGTAATATTGTGAATGAGTAGAAGATGACCTGTTTGTTCTATGCTTATAATAAGTACGGAGAAGAAAAAGAAAAGTAAAAAAAAAAGTGTGAATGTTTTTTTTTTTTTTTTAAAAGAGCAGTCAAGAAGGTTTTTTTTGGTTATAGATAAGGAAGGTGAGGATGAAATGGTGACAGGTCAAAGCTACTTGCTATGATATAATTTTCTCAGATATAAATTTGAACTATGCTGTGAACTAGTGCTACATGCTGTCTGGTGAATGCTCATTTATGGATAATGGATTTTCAATGAACAGTAAGTGCCTGGAAATGATAATGGCTGTATAATGTATTGATTGTCTACAAATGCTTTCAATTTTTAACAGTTAAAAGAGATGTCCAACTTCAAGAAACCACTTGGACTGGACTGTTCAGCCCTGCAAGGGATTGAAAATCCGTTCTTCAGCAAAAGTGTCCCGGTTCAGCTGGGTTTGCAACTTGGGCTACTTAAGTACAGAACATATTTAAATAGTGACAAGTTCAGTCAGCAAGCTCATCTGAATATGGAGGGTAATAAAAACTGTCAGAAAGATGCAACAGTAATAGTTACAATCTGTAATTCCCAAACAACATTCAGAGTAGGATAATCAGCAGCCAAATTTGTATATTCAAATCTTCTTACTCTCCAGCAATGGGAATTAAAATTAAACTAACAGCCTAGGAAGCCTAGTCTCCTTATTAATCTAAACTATATTACATACAATTCTTTGTGTAATAACTTAATCCCATTCTTCTGAAGACAGACCACAAAAGCTTCTGTATCTCTCTTCAAACTCTGACTCGAGGAAAGAACATCCTGTAGCTGAAAAGGACAAATATTTGATTAGGAAAGTTGAAACTGGAACTCGTTTTGACTAAATAAATAAATAAATAAATACAGGTATTGTTGTTTGTCCCTGTCCACCTCAGGATCACCCAGATAAACAACACAATGCAACAGTCACAAAAGATGATACTGAAGAATTAATTCTAAATGTAGCAAAAGAGGCTTAGTAGGGCTGTGTTAAAAAACACACATTTTTACTGATTACAGAGCATTTCAGTGCTGAAGTGGGAGATGTTATTGACTAGAATGGAATAGAGAGACATAATCTGGTAAAGATCAATGAACTCATTCAATTTAGTTCTGTTCATCCTTGAAGACAGTGCATTTTAATATGATAGCACAAGAAAGTAGATTTGGAGATTTCTAGATCAATCTCACTTGAATTGCTTATTCTACATTGTTGCATAAAACTAGGATAGTAAAAGTTTTCACATGTCAAAAACATTGCTAGATGCTGATATGATTCAGATTGTAAGTAGATCAATCTCTGTTGGAACATATAGGAGAAAGCCTTTGTATAGCCATGTGAAACTTAGAATCAAATGTGCTATCAAGAGATATAAGACATGCCAAAATGAGCAAGGAAATTAAATAGGTAACGTAGACAAATGTCAGAAAGAAAAGTGAACAAACAAGCTGAGGGAACAGATGGAGTGTGAATCACTGCTGTTCTAAGGACTTGAATTTCAAGAAAAAAGCATGTGTAGAAATAAAAACAATTGATTTCAGATAAAGTTTTACAACCTGTAAAAAGGCATAAAAAAAGAGCAAAGGAAGATAGTACAAGGAAAAAACAGCCAGAAAGAAGAAAGTGTTACCATGTGAGTTATGACTGGTAAAGCATAATATACAGCAAGGATGAAAAACTTCTTTTCTTGCTAAAGGTTTAATAGGCCTCTGAAGTGCTTTTGGCAGCCTAAACAAATTGCATGCATCTTTCTGTCAGCGAGTAACAGCAGAGGAATATGTAGTTGTGGACTGTAATACGTAATATGGAGAGTTTATACCTTGGCTAGATGTAGTCAGCCACCAAGCTAATTAAAAGAGGATATTGAGAAAAAATAATGCTAATAGAACTTTATTTTTTCTTATTCATTTTTGAAAGTAAATTTCCCAGAACTTACAGTCTAACTTTTCAATCATCTTTGTACGTTTGATTTTTTTCAACTTTAATGGGTTGATCAGGACAGAGGTTGTGATTTGTGTTTTCCTGTATCTGATGCAAATGGACTCTGATCCAATGGGAATATGTGAGTTCTGCTACATTACAAATAAAGAATGAAATGGACTTCCATGATAAATTACATATGGTGAATAACAAGTACCAGCTCCAAGAAATGTTGGGCAGAAAATTAGTCAATGAATATAGTGCAATTATCCAGACATTGATAGCTGGTAGTCTGCTTATTAAGTACTTGATACACCATGTGCTAAATTACAGTCTGTATTAAGACGTGGTTGGGCTCCAAACAAGGGTCAGTTTGTAAGGACAAGAATTCCAAACATACAAAAAATGTAAACAAAGAACCACAGTAAATGCATGCTGAATTTGCAGTGGGAGTGTAAAGAAGCTCTGACTGGGCATATAACGTGTGAAATATTTGCTGTCAGATCTATTAGAAAATTGCCTTCCTAGATTTACAAAAAAGAACCAAGAAAGCCTTCTCTTCATTTATAATTTATTTGAATGTACTGATACCTTATAATAAACACCTGTATGGTCCTTGGATACCATGGATGTTGTCTCCTCAGAAGCACTTAAGACAGAATGATGAGACAGATGGATAATTAAACCTCTAGTGATTTCACAGAATCAGAGAATCGTAGGGGTTGGAAGAGACCTCCAGAGATCATCAGGTCCAACCCCCCTGCCAAAGCAGGTTCCCTAGGGCAGATTGCACAGGTGGGTGTCCAGACAGGCCTTGAATATCTCTAGAGAAGGAGACTCCACAGCCTCCCTAGGCAGCCTGTTCCAGTGCTCCGTCACTCTCACTGTGTAGAAGTTCTTTCACATACTGGTGCGGAACTTTTTGTGATCCATTTCGTGGCCATTGCCCCTTGTCCTGTCCTCACAAACCACTGAAAAGAGGTTGGCCAAATCCCTGTCTCCCACATCTCAGGTATTTATAAACACTGATAAGATCCCCTCTTAGTCTTCTTTTCTCCAGGCTTAACAGACACAGGTCCCTCAGCCTTACCTCATAAGGAAGATACTCCAGGCCCTCTATCATCTTTGTGGCCCTCTGCTGGATTCTTTTCAGGAGATCCTGTCATTTTTGTACTGGGGAGCCCAGAACTGGATACATTCCTCCATGTGAGGCATGACCAGGGCAGGGTAGAGGGGGAGGATCACCTTCCTTGACCTGCTAGCCATACTCCTTTTAATGCACAACAGGATCCCATTGGCCTTCTTGGCCACTGGGGCACACTTCTGGCTCATTGCTAACCTGTCATATACCAGGACCCCCACATTTATTTTTTTTACTTAAACTTTAATATTATGCCTGATACTCTGTTCCTTACAGTAACTTTAGCTCTCCCTTCCCTTCCCATATACTGCATGAATATGGATTGCAGAAATAAGTTCAAGACATGTGGTCAAAATGAAATTTATCATTAGAATAAGATATTGAAAAGTTGTATCTTACGGCACATTAGAAAAAAAAAAAAGATCAATACCGAGAAGTATTTTAAATAGTAAAAATAGTAGAGAACTTACTAAATGGAGAGAGATCCCATAAATATAATTTCATTTACCACAAAAAGGAGGCATAAACATGAACTTCGCTTAATACTCTCCATGGTTGTGGAATTTCCCATATAGATCCTGAAAACACCAAGGAGAAGCTGGTAAGCCAAAGAACAATGAAACTTTTTTTTTTTAATTTTATTTTATCTCTAAATTTTATTTTTTTTAATAATCAAGTGGTAATCATGTCTTGTTAATTATTTTGCAAGAATAGTAACAAAAATCATGCTGGTGAAACGACACAGCAGATGAGACTGTCAAAAGTAGAAACTAAGTAAAGATTTGGAAAGACTAATTGCATAATAAAGTTGGCAATGTTCAAAATAAGTCTCAGGACATCCTGTGTGACCCCAAAACCTACTAGTATCTTCACAGAAAAAAAAATGACGGATTGGAAAAATGAGAAGAAAAGGGTGACATCATTTAGTTGATACAAAAATCTTCTTTCAGCTGATACCATCTTTTAACAGAGAGCAACCAATCTTTTTTTTTCTTTAATTAATAATTTGATGTTTTTTATTGGAATGAAGTATAGTAAAAGAGAATAAATATTTGAGTTAAAATATAGAACCATTATATTTCATTAAATTACTTGTAAGAAATACGGCATTTGTTCTCAATCTTCATTGCTAACCTTAAGCAGTACATAACTCGTGTCCTGTAGCTAGTTCAGTTTTTTTCTCTTTCCTATACAAGATATTACTTTCTGAGTTTTTGAATCTGAAACATTATCCCTTATTTAACACCCCTAAATATGAAGACCCCCTGAAAAAATAGAAAAGATAGGAAGAAGCCTGGCCCTTCTGGTTATCCCTAAATACCTCAGTGTAAGAAAGGGAGGGCACCTTCATAAATTAATTTCATAAATAAACCGTCATAAAATAAATAAATAAATAAATAAAAGATGTTTGAACATGTTGTAGTGTTGTGACTTCCTGGTTTTGTTAATATTTAAAATAAAGGAAACAATTCATCCACTTTGCTCAAGCTTTGTATCCAATTCAATTTATGTTAAGATCATATTTTATTATTTGGGAAAGACAAAGGCATGATGAAAAAGATTCTGATATCATTTGCAGTAATACAAATCCAGAATCTTTTTGCTAAGTTCAGTATGGTACTTTACTTTTTGCATTAAAGTTAGTTTGAATCCTCATACTATTACCACATTGTTTGATGTCATACACCTTGGATAGGGGTAGGAATCAGTACAGCATACTTCTCTTTCCATAAACACTTTTGTTATGCATGCCATAAACAGCTTTTGCTTCGAGTAGATTGTTAGACAGAAAATAAAGAAAGAAAAGAAAACTAGATTCATGTTGTATGCCTCTGTGAATGGGAGCTTGATAATGTATGCGCTAATCACTTTTTTGTCTTTACAATCTGTGTATTGTGAATGATATAAAAAACCTCTTTTTTCTCTAACTAAAATTTTGATTAAGAAAGATAAAATAAAAGCTCCTTGCTATCTGGATGATACTGTGATTTCATTTCTAGAAGGAGAGATTCTGGAAAGTATGATTACACTAAGGAATTAAGTGTAGCCAGAAAAAGAGAAGGATTTTGAGAGAACACTGTAATTAATTGGAAAGAATATATCGTGGTTAGACACTTGTTAGATAATCAGTAACAACCTCCAGCCTATGAAAATGCATTTTACCTCACTAGAACCTCAGAATTAAATTATCTATTACACTAGTACGTCTTACAAAGAAACTAGAACATATGCATTTAAAACAAGTAGAAACATCTAGGAAAGCAATGTCCTTAAGCCACACTGTTCTTGTGAAAAAATATCTCTTGTAACTTCTACATTCCACTGAAAGTTCACTACATGCATCTACAGGTACATACATAGACAGTAGAACACTAAGAAAAAGAATAATCTTAATATTTAATACCCAGCCACTTGCTTAAATAATTAATATCTTTATTTTTCTTGTTTGTTTGTTCTTATTCTTGCTAATAAGAAATTTTTAATTATCATAAATTCAAGAACTGGATTCAGAACTCCCATTTAGTCACTAAAGCAAATAGCAAAATTGTGAAAAGAACTAAGAAATGAGAACTCTTGAACATTGACAGCCACAGGGCATCAACCAGCTCTCTAGAAAGACTATTTCAGTGTTTGACCACCCTCATAGTAATTTTTCCTAATGTTCAATCTAAGCCTCCCCTGCTGCAGCTTTATGCAATTTTCCCACATTCTATTATTGGTTATCAGGAAGAAGAAAATTGGCATCTCCTCTCCATTTCTTAAATACCTCTGACTTGCATTTGTAATTTGCATCAGTAAGACCGCAGCATTACTTGGTAGGTGACCATCTTCTTGAAGTATCAGTCCAATGTTTTACTTAGACCTCCTTTTGCTGCTGACATACTTTTTTGTTGTCACACCACACTGTCCAACTCAAGTTGAACTTTGTCATTTCTTGTTTTCTCTCTGCAGATGCAAAAGTCAAAAAGTCAACTCTGCCATCGACCTGTGAAATCAGTTTTTTTTTTTTTTTTTTAATGTCCCCAGAGATTATACATTTTCTGTTGTGGTTCCAAGAGAAGTTCCCTGTTCAGCCTCATTGGCCTCACCTGCCTTTCCTGACCTGCAGCAAAATGGGATTGCTTGTTCCTGGGCTTTTAAAAGGTGGTTCTTGAAAAGTGATTGGCTGTAATGGACCCATAGCCCCTTTAAGAGCCAACTCCCAGGGGTAGCTAGCTACCTGAGAACTTGAATAGATAAGGCCTTCACTGAAACTCATTTCACTCTTGTTCTCTATTCTTCCATATCTCTTTATTTATATTCCTTAAGAAGAAATAAATGTTTTTTTTTTTTGTTTTTTTTTTTTTCTCTTCCACAGACTTGTTCTAGACAATATGACCATAAGGAATTTGCCTTTTAAATTGTAGTAAGTTTGGGGGATTAATTAGTACAGAAATGGTGTTGCTATTGTATCAGGTAGCAGTATCATGAAACTCTTCAGTTTAGATGAGAAAAGAAAAAGTGTACACAAATAGCTCTAAGAATTGCTGTTTTTGTTGTTGTTTTGGTAGTCATTGTAAGGCCACCACCGTTGATCCAATTATTTTCCAGGGCTATATTGCTTTCATGATACAGAAACAGCTTAGAGATCCTTTTCACCTTACATTACACAGCTGAAAATTGAACATATCAAAATCTCTTCAGTTACTTTGTATTTCCTTTGAAACCAATGGAGAGAACTATATTCTTCCAGAATGATTCCTCTCGTCTTCCTTGAGCCAAACTGTGAAAGTGTCCATCTCTCTTTCTTAGCTATAAAAGGAGTTTTGCATCTAACCTAGCTGCAAATATATGCATTTTTATCAGAGAATTCTAAAGTAAAAATAAATCCTCTTGCACTTTGTTTTGCTTAGAATTTGCTCACTAGTGCAATTCAGTACGTATGGTTTTCTAACATAGTGTAATGTTCCCTGTAGCTTAAGAACTGAAGGTAGTGTTTTTAATATGACACCTATTAAGTGATTAATGTTAATGGCTACTTACAGGTTATTAACAGCCTGTTCTCATGTGTGAACTTACCTGGATTTGAAACATAAAGTCAGTAATAAGTATTTCATTACTTGTCATCCAAATATCTAAATTCATACTCTTTCAGGCAGGGATCAAATATTAAATTCAAAATAATGTGTAAGTGGAATTATAGAAACAGGCAGAGAAGAAATCAATGTTTCCTCTTTTTTAAAAAAAAAAAAATCATTATTATTTTTATTTTCCATAGGGAAAGAAAGTGAGAAAAAATGAGATTTGTCTACTAGAAAATATAAGTAAATATTATAATTGTAGTAATTTTAAAGTGTTATTTATTAATGAAAATTTTTTCATTCACTTCAGGCAAGAAAAAATATGGGAACATTTTATACATAGAACAGGGACTTAACTGTATTTTCATTCGATCCAAACTGCTACAATTCTCTGCACACACATTTTATATCAGTCCTTTTCGTATAACAAGATGCTAGTTCATTATAGAATACTTCTCTTTTGGTTGGTCTTGGAGAAGTGTTTTAATTTATTTGAGCTATGAGTCCATCCCATTTTTTTTAACCATGTGTTTTATATATGTGCTTTATAATATGTGCTTTAGTTACACCAGAATGAACAAATTTCCTGCCATAATCTTTGATGAAACCTATACAACACAAACAACCAGTCAAACAATGAAGATATGGAAAGGTTATTGGGAGGTTCTTTTGAACCCCCAGTGGGACGGCCCCCCCCCACACACACGCTCCCCGCCCCTCTAAGCAGTTTGCCCTAGTGCTCCAATGGCTTTGCTAGCTTAATAGAAATCTCTATTGCTTTAATAATGTCTCCTTTGTCAATTACTTCTACTAGTGACATAAGAAATTTCTTTCTCAGTTTATACTTCAGAACTATATTTTTCAAATTTTTAGTTAATTATAAGATCTTTCCCAAGGTTTTTCTTCTTTATATTAAGCAATCAGAGCAATCTCAACATTTCTTTCACAACCCATGTTATCACTGCTGTTGCTTTCTGTGGACTTTGTAGTTACTTTAAATACTGAGGGCTAACATGCTCCAAAACTGGGCATTGGAGGCTCTATTACTTCAAGCAGAAAAGAAGTGCGTGGGTCTTACAGAAATACCATTGTATGTCCTGGAACGGTATTGGCCTTTTTTTCAAAGTTCACAGAATCACAGAATCACAGAATTTCTAGGTTGGAAGAGACCTCAAGATCATCGAGTCCAACCTCTAACCTAACACTAACAGTCCCCACTAAACCATATCCCTAAGCTCTACATCTAAACGTCTTTTGAAGATTTCCAGGGATGGTGACTCTACCACCTCCCTGGGCAGCCCATTCCAATGCCTCACAACCCTTTCAGTAAAGAAGCTCTTCCTAACATCCAACCTAAAACTCTCCTGGCACAACTTTAGCCTGTTCCCCCTCGTCCTGTCACCTGGCACGTGGGAGAACAGGCCAACCCCCACCTCTCTACAGCCTCCTTTAAGGTATCTGTAGAGAGCGATAAGGTCGCCCCTGAGCCTCCTCTTCTCCAGGCTGAACAAGCCCAGCTCCCTCAGCCGCTCCTCGTAGGACTTGTTCTCCAGGCCCCTCACCAGCTTCGTCGCCCTTCTTTGGACCCGCTCAAGCACCTCGATGTCCTTCTTGTAGCGAGGGGCCCAAAACTGAACACAGTACTCGAGGTGCGGCCTCACCAGAGCCGAGTACAGGGGGACGATCACCTCCCTAGCCCTGCTGGTCACACTGTTTCTGATACAAGCCAGGATGCCGTTGGCCTTCTTGGCCACCTGAGCACACTGCTGGCTCATATTCAGCCGACTGTCCACCATCACTCCCAGGTTCTTCTCTGCCTGGCAGCTCTCCAACCACTCATCTCCCAGCCTGTAGCTCTGCTTGGGGTTATTGCGCCCCAGGTGCAGGACCTGGCACTTGGCCTTGTTAAACTTAATGCAGTTGACCTCAGCCCATTGGTGCAGCCTATCCAAAACAAGTTGCATGATGTCTCTTTCAGTTTGAAAATCTATGCTCTCTAGGTAATTTTCATAGACTGCTTTAGGCAGTCATTCTGTGTCTTCTAACTGTTGATTGTTCCTACAAGATTATGAGAACTTTGCAGTTGCTCTTACTGAACTGCACAATTTTCCCCAAAACTTTCTTTGGTTTATGAGGTTATTTTAATTATCATCCTGTTCCCTTGACTTGCAGCTCTTCAGAGTTTTTGTTTGTTTGTGTTTTGTTGTTCTACCACTAAGAAAGCAACCTCTCTTTTACATACCCATCATTAGAATAGTTTTGAATAACACTAGAAAGTTCCAGAAAATATCCTTACAAAATTCCTGTTGGTAGACCCATTCAGTGTGAAGGTAAAAAGAAACAAAACAAATAAACAAAAAAACTGTTCCTTTAGCACATTTCCCTGCTTGTCTTGCCCCATTCACTTAGTGAAAACAATTAATCTCATCCACATTTTTCTAATTTTCATATAAATGTATTGTATGTGACAGCATCAAATAAAATCAATATACATGACAGTTGCTGTTGTTTCTGCCTTATCAGCAAGGATTGTTACTCTTTTGTAGGAGTAAATTGGATTTATCTGAATCTTTATTTTTCACAAATTCATGTTCATTTTGCTCATCTCCGTTTATTCTTCCAGACACTTACAAACTGTTCATTTATTCTAGTCCTTTATTTGGGAGTGAAAATTAAGCTGTCTTGTATTGCCTTATATCTCCTCTTCCTATTTTAAAGATAATTACTTTTTCCAGTGCTTCAGAACTTCCTTCACTCTATTCCAATTCTCAATAACAACTTCAAATAGTAACAGTTTTTCTTAGGTAGAGTAAATTAATTTATCATTATATACATATGTTATACATCAAATCATTAGCAAAGTATAAAAGGCCTGTTAGGTGACATATCATATTTATGAAAATCCAGCAAATGTTTTCAGTATCAATAGGAAGAATTTACTGACAGTAATTTGATAACTTTGAAAAGCAGTTTGAAACTTCATCCTTGTAGTTCATATCATCAGAACATTCTCATAGTGCTATACTTCAGAGGGGTTTGATATTTACTTTCAAAACAGTTGCTGCCTGTGAGGGTTCCCACACCCTCTATGGAACTCAGCCACCAAAACAGCTGGTGGAGCCCATGCTCTTGTATAGAACACACCTCTTGTAAAGATATTTTACTAGTCTCTGGTGAAGAAAAAACTCTGACTTTGCTGTTACCGTCTTTTCTGTTACTTTTTAAATATCACTGATCAACACTTCTCTGTCCTTACATCAACATTTTTGATACTTTCTTTTGTGATGAAGACAAAATGGTTGGCTGATGGATGAGAGGGCAACGGGTAAAAAAAAAACTTGGCATGAAGGAAATATTTGTTCTTTTCAAGACAACGAAAATGAGTATACTCTGCAATTGGAAATCTCCATTGGAAGATCATTCTACAGTTTCTTAGAGAGTGCCCCTCCTCCCTAAACCCCCAAATTAACTGCATTTCTGCTATATAATTTTTTCCTCTGGAAGCAATCGCATATCAATTTCACATTATATTTCAATAAATTTCCAGTGTTTATTGAAAACAGTGATACAATCACAATGGTTCTGTGAATTTAAGTACAAATAAATTCAATAAACACAACAAGTGTTTCTAGCCAGACTACACAAAGAGCAGAAGGAGGTATAGCTTCAGGTCCATTGCCTTCCTCTTTGTAGATGAAACAGAATACTCCCTTATAAATCAAAGATCTTCAATTGGGGGTTTCTCCGCCTCCTTTTTTTTTTTTTTTTTTTTTTTAACCTTTTTTTCCCTTTTCAATATATCACTTTAGATCTTTAAATACCTCATTTAGTGTGGAGTGACTAGAAGTCATTTAGGATATTTTTTAAGCATTGGAGGAAAAAAAATACATCCAAATGCCTAAAATTCATTTCCTTTTAAGAGCTCTGTGATCTGTGGAAACTGCTGCCCTCAGATGGGGTTAATTTTCTTCTTTGACCTTTGACCAGTAGCTTTATATTCTCTGCTTATAGTCTTGCTAGTCTTGATTGCTTCAGTAGTATTCTTTCAGAATTTTCCTTCAAAGGAAGGCAAAAGAAACTTAAACTTAAGAAAAAAAAAATTATATCAAGAGGAGAAAAATGTAAAATAAAATC